CAGGGCCTCTGATGATGATGGCAAACTCATCACTGTGTTGCATCGCAGGGGCAAGATGGGTAGCCACTAGACTTCAAGGTCCCTAATCTACATCCCTGGCCCAAGCTTTGGTCAGAAGTAGTGCAATCACCTACCCACAAGAACAGTACCACCCGTAGACACGGGCCAGACAAGCTCCCACTCTGGGTTCCATACTTTAGAGCAGCGGTTCTCAACCTGTGGGTCACGAACAATGAAAATACATCCTGCATATCAGATATTTACATTAGGATTCATAACAGTAGCAAAATTACAGTTATGAAGTAGCAACGAAAATAATTTTATGGTTGGGGGTCACCACAACATGAGGAACTGTATTAAAGGGTCGCGGCATTAGGAAGGTTGAGAACCACTGCTTTAGAGAGTATTCTATCTATTAAAAAATCCAGTCCCGCCCTGCTGGCGTGGCTCAGTGGTTGAGTGTCAACCTATGAACCAAGAGGTCCCAGTTCTATTCCTGGTCAGGGCACTTGCCCAGGGTTGCCCAGGTTGCAGGCTCGCAGGGGCGTGCAGGAGGCAGATGACCAATGATTCTCTCTCATCATTGATGTCTCTATCTCTCTCTCCCTCTCCTTTCCTCTCTGAAGTCAATAAAAATATTTTTTTTTTAAAGCCAATCCCTTGGGCTCTGTACGTGAGACCAAATCTGTTTCAGAGATCACAGCCTTGGAGGTCTAGATCCTTCACCATCTATATATGACTTCCTGCTTTTCATAGTAGTTTTGTTTTGTTTATTGGTTGTGCCCACATTTAACATCATTTCTGCCATCCTAGATGAAGTCCCAGAGTTATAAATCCCACTTACCAGCATCACCAGGTATTTGCACAGCAGATACACCCTTTGATCTCTGGGTCTCTGGGACAGAAAGGGGTACTCCTCACTTTGACCCTTCAGAACACTTTATTCAGGAAAGAATTATAGAAAGAGCAAGTCCATCTCAAAGCAACCTCCTTTCTTGGCAGCTGAGGACTGAAGGGTACTGTTTCAAAGCCTTCAGGTCTCCATGTACCTCTGTGTTCCTCAGCTCCTGCCATCTCTAGAGAATACACCTATTCTCAGAGGACTAAAACCATAGTCTCCACCCTGTTATGCTGTAATCGCAATCATGGCTAGAATTTTATTAGTCTGAATTGGACCTTCTTTGTGTGTTCCCTAGCTTAAAGATTTAGCTACATGGAAACTCTACTACAGCAGGTCCGCTAGTCCGTGTCATTTTCTTATAACATTACTGAGATGCCATAGGAATTTAACTCCTGTTTATATGAATTAGCCTATGATAAAATTAGTTTCAATATATTTTGCCACAGTTCCAAGATCCGTTGCCACTGTTAAGTGAGGACTTTACAACCAAACTCAGTAAGCTCCTAATTTGTACACTGGCACTTCCTTGTAGGCAAGAACTGTGCCATTGGGTTCTGTGTCCCCAGCACTTAGTACCATCCCTGGTATGTGGTATTGTCCAGTGAAATCTCTCTTGGAGACAGGCTCTGTCAAGAATTGTAATGGGTCTGAGTTTTACCCTACATGCAAGTTAACAAGTTAGCCTATTACAGTTTCATGGATGCTGGTAGAAGACATGAAACATCTGCGGCAGAAACCAAAACAGTTTATTAATCACAGCAACAGTAGTAGCTAGGGTATCTGCATTTTTTTAAAAAGATAGTTCCCCAAGACCTACTTTCCACAGGGCAATGTGAATAAGGCCAGTTAACTCCTGTACATGAAGGACTCTGAGCTCAGGGAATCTTTTTTTTTTTCTTTGCAAAATGTTATAGTTTTATTTAATGCAAATAAAACTTTCTCATGAGCCGTCTACTCATTTTCTTCACTGTGCAGCCTGGCATTAGGATTGGTGACTTATGGGATCAGGGCTGCTCTTCCCACAGTGGCTTTGCAGTAGTTGGAGGAAAGGTTATGAAGAATCTCAACCCAGTAAAACTTGTTGCACATCAACAGCACTTCCAGCTTTTTGATGTTGTAGACTAGAAACTTCTAGAAGCCACTAGGCAGCGCATGCCCCATTTTCTTGTTGCTGCCTTGATTAATGTTGAGCATCAGGATCTGGCACTTGAGTCTTCTCTGTACCCTGTTGTCGATGCCTCTGGATTTCTGTCAGTTACGCTTAATTTTGACATATCAGTCTGATTAGTGCCAGATGAACTTCTTGATCTTCTTTTTGACCATCTTGTGCTTCATGAGGGGTCTGAGAGCAGTCATGATGCTAGTTTGGAGATGGATACCACCTCCCATGGATTCTTTTAATGGCTTTATTGAGGTATAATTAGCATGCAATAAACTGGACATATGCACAATGTACACTGATAACTTTTTTATTGTTGACACTATTATAATGTCCTCCCTTCCTCCCTTTGTCCCCTGAATCTTTTATAATGAGCAATCAGCATGCCTTCCCTTTCCTCCAGAGGGACACGCGATCACTGTCAGGCATCCTTGCAAAGGCAGTCTGGAATAAAGGGCAGCCAGCGCCTCACGTGCAAGAAGACATGCAGAAATGTGAGTGGCCGTGGAGAAACGTGTCAACAGGTGGCTGAAGTGAGTCAGAGGTGCCAGCAGTCTGAAGTTCACGTGTCCCTGCCCACCCCCACCGCAGAAGCCTTGAAGGACAAGCAGTTTTCTCAGTGTTACACAGCATACAGCTCCTTCCAGCATCTACTTGTTTGGTGGTCCAATGCCCCCTGCCTTGAAAGCCCTCTCCCTACTTTTCCTTCTGGATCAGATTCAAATTTCAACGCTCCCGTAGAGCATTCCCTGACCAGCCCAACGCACAGTGACTTCTTCTTCTCCGGCATTACAGAGTGATTATGATCTATGTCAGTCATATTGGCACTTAGTAGGAAGTAACAATAATCACCACATCAACAACATCTGACATTTGTGTATCGTTTTACCTTTTGCAAAGTGTTTGTACACAAACTATTTCCTTTGACTATCAAGCATAGCAATCTGTGAGACACGCGAAGGAAAATGTGAGAAAAAGCAGACATTTAGAAACTTTCCCAAGGTCACCTAGTTAATAAACAGGTCATCGGGTTTAGAATTAGCTCCCAGACCACAATGGCTGCATTATGCCACTTCTTGTTACTGTTTCAACTCCCATGTGGATTTATGTCATGCGGAGTTGAGTCAGAGAGACTTGATTGTTACTTTTTGATCAAAGATTAGGGGACAAAAGAGTCACAGCAGATTCTAGTGGTTAAGAGTTTAGTGTCAGACAAACCTGCGTGGAGAGATTTCTTGGGTTCACCAAAATACAGGCTGTCTCTTCTTCTGGAACACGAAGCTAAGCTACATGTCCGAGGTTCCCTTGCATCTAGGTGGAACCATGACACTGCGTGCTAGCCAATGGAATGTGGGCATAAGTGGTGTCACTACTTTCAGGTCTGGCCAGTCTTCTACATGCTAGTCAGTCTTCCATGCTCTATTTCCATCACTCAAGGTTGGTTGATGGTGGGGAGATCTTGAAGCTACAACATGTTCAAGCTACAAGATGGAAGGGGCCTGTGCACATGCGTCAGTGCTTAGAGCTGAGCGGCCCAAGAGAGCCACCCGATGAGGACCAGCCACACGTCACTTTGCTCCAGCAAGAAACAAATTTCATTGTGTTACATCACTGTGATTTGGGGATTGAGAAACCAGTTGCCCCACTCTCAGACACTTGAGATTAAATCCCAGCTCTGCATTTCACCAGTCTGGTGTGACCTTCCTCACTCATTTGTAAGGTGAAATAATAATCATTCCTATCTCACAGGATGCTGGTGAGAATTAAATGAGATAACATATGCAAAGGATTTTCACAGTGTCTGGCACATAGTATAAATGCTATTTAATCAGTAAATATTAGCTATTCATGTTATTATGTCTAACACATTTTCTGCTGGTTCCAAACTGAATTTGAAATTTCTGTTTTCCAACTTGTGTTGGAAGAGAAAATCTCATTCTGATGACCTTATGACAATGAGTATGGCTCAGGGTTAATCAGGGTTAGCGTCTCTGCACGTAGGCCTAGTTTTCTGGGTGCCCTGCCAATCCATCCTTTCCCGCCCCAATGGATTTTTAATTTTCAATGATAAATAAAAAGGGGTGAAAAAATAGGAAAACTATAAAGCTATTTCCAGAAAAAAAAATCTACCAAAATCTCCTGAAACTCTCTGAATATACTGGGATTATGTATATTAAGTAAAGATTACATTTCAGAATGCTTAGTCTGAATGTTCACCATGAATTTACCACTTGTGTGGTTGGGTCATTTTGAATCAGACAATTAGATCTTTCAAGTGAAAAAATATCTGTATTGGAGGCAATAATAATGTGTCAAAGTAGGTTCATCAATTGCAAGAAATGTACCTCTATGATGCAGGATGTTGATTATTGGGAAAGCTATATATGCGGCAAGACAGGGTGTCTATAGGAACTCTCTGTACTTTCCGCTTAATTTTGCTATGAACCTAAAACTGCTCTAAAAAATAAAGTCCATTAAAAATTCTATTCACCGCTACTGAATTGCACAGCAATTCAGGTCTAATGGGATCATTATGTTATTAAAAAGAGATTAAGATAGTTTTGTCTTTAAATGATGGACACAGTGTATTCCCAATACATTTTTCCCTCTGGTTGGTGGCAACATAAACTGGAAGTACAAATTGAGCCACCTCTCTGACTTCTGGGAAGCTGATGCCAGGACACAAAAGGCCTGTCATGGCTGATTGCATGTTATGACTTGTTAATGTGTCCAGCCCACCCACCCTTGCAATGGTTCAGGGAATTAAAAAAGGAAGCATAAGGTATGCAGCAAGAACATTTCTCACATGAGCAGATTAGGAAAATAAAGAGCATTTCTTTGAAAAGCTTACTTGATAGCCCAGATTTAAATATACACCATAAGAATAAAGAATATTTTTCACTCCAGCTTTGTGTCAGTTATCCTGCTGCCTGCACTCACCTTGTCTACTGAACAAGTAAACCCGTCAGCCTGGATTCAAATTCCAGCTTGATGCCTTGGCCAGGTTACTTAACTTCTCAGATATTTGCTTTCTTACCTGGAAAACAGGATTAACTGATGGTAAGCACTTAGGAATTGTTTTGTCCTTTTGCTGTTGTTAAAATAAGATTAAAAACCAAATTTTGATACAAATTTGCAATAAAGAAAGCACACCACTTTAAAAACTCCTGAAGGATTAATCACAAGTCTGGTAAGAGGAGATTTTTAATACAAATAATCCAGTTATTAGTTTCTCCAACCTCTTGCTAACCCCTTTACCCTTCTAACACAAAAATTACACACAGCTTTGGAATATGGAATATTTTATCAAAATATAGTAGTGTACCATAGTAAGTATAATTTTAGAATTGCTTGCATTTTTCCTAATTATTTACTATTAAACAGCCTAAGAAAAGATTCATAAATACATGAATTAAAAAATCATTTCTATTTTCATTTTAAAACTGATTAATCACAGTCAATTTTAAGAAAAGCTTTCAGTGAAATTATATAAAATACCCTGAAGGTATCCTATATAATAAAAGGGTAATATGCAAATTGACCCTAACAGCGGAACAACCAGAATGACCACTCGACCAGTCACTATGAGGCACACTGACCACCTCTCAGTCCCTTCCCCCGGCCATCAGGCTCCGATTGCCCAATGGCGAACAGGAAACCGGGGTGGGTGGTGGCAGAGGACAGGGCTGGCTACGGGCAGCCAGGGAAGATGGCCCTGATCGCAGGCCAGACCTAGGGACTGTACCTGTGCACTAATTTTGTGCACCGGGCCTCTAATAAATTATATAAATGCCCAAGAGGTGTGGCCTGCTCCGGGTTAATCTGTGTTCCACAAAGCACAGTGGGTCAGTTCTGGACCTAAGGAATGTTTGCTCTGAAAAGTTGGTCCTCTCTACCTTCAATGAGAATTTACCTGAGACAAGTTAAAATCAGACCAGTCACCAAGGTGTAGGTCAGGAATCAGAATTTTTTACTTTGATGCATTCTACCTTCACTATTAAAAAATAATAACAACTAAAAAAAAAATTGAAAAAAATTTTAAATCAATGCAAGGTGCAGCAGACACTCATGCTCTACTTCATTATCTCCCATACTCTGCCCAGCTTATGGGCAGGTAATTGGAGCCATGTGACAACTGGTCAATGGGCTTGGAAGGGAACTGATGTGTATAACTTCCAAGCTGAGGCAAGAAAAAAAGCCAGTTCATGATTCTCTAGATTTTTTTCTTTTTCCTCTTGAGCAGCCTCATGGGTCCTTGAGTGACAATATGGAGTAAAACCCACTGCCTATCTGCCTGGAACAGTGTGCAAGTGGAAAACCAATTCTTGTGTGGTAAGCCACTGAGATTTGGGGGTTGTCTGTCACAACTTAATTTAATTTGTCCTTGTTCACAACATGTTCCCTAAATGCAACCCTCCTCATGCTTTTGTACACACTGTTTATAAACCTAAAAGGTTTTTGCACCTTACCCATCAATCCACTCCTATTTCAAGATCCAACCCCGACACCTTCTTCTGTGTAATGAAGGGCAGCATGGCATACAGAGGAAAGAGTATGGGTTTCAGAATTTGCAAGGCTCAGGTTCAAAAGTGGTTCCATCTCTTACAAGCTAAGCAACTCTGAGAAAACTAACCTTTCTCTGCTCTAATTTCCTCACTATACAGTGAGGAAAATAACTGCATAGAGTGGCTGTGAGATTAAATATCATGGGTTATGTAAATTGCTGATCATAGTGTTTGGCACATAGCAAAAATACAGGCTGTGTTATTATCCCCAGCTCACCATCACCCCAGCTAAATCCAGATGCATTTTCCTCTGGGTTCCCATAGCAGCTCTATCTTAGCACTTACTGTCTTCCATTATATTTTTTGCATCCATGTCTATATCCCCCATTAATCTATTAATAACTAGAAGCCAGTGGCATTGCCTGATTTTATTTTGCAGTTCTGGTCCCAGCACCTAGAGCACTGTTTGGCAATAGTAATTGCTCCACAAATGTTTGTTAAGTGAATTCATCTTGATGTGCCCAGTACAGTCAGTCTTCCATAAACTGTTTATTGATTGGATGAATAGAGCAATGAACAAATCAATTCATGAAAAATGATTATATCTTTCCTTTCCCCATAAGTAAATGAGCTTTATAGAAGGGAACCCATTTTAACCTCCTTCTTATAGATTCCACCTCATTCCTGCTGCTGCTGCAGCTGCTTTCTTCTCTCATGGCAGACTGGCTACCTATTCATCAATATTCATGTTCTCTTCCTTATCATACCCCCTGGAAAACATTTATCAATCCCCTTGCAACTAGGAAGGGCTTTGCAACTAGTTCTCACCAATCGGAAGTAAGCAGAAATGATGTACCTACCTCCAAACGTAACCCGTAAGATAGCTGCTTTGAGGTCCTCCCTCACCCTTTGTCTCTTCGATTGAATACAGAGGAACCAGTGGAGGATTCTAGGCCCAAGAAGATGCTGGAGCCATCAGATGGAAAATGCTTGGAACCTGAGTCCCTGAATGACTGTGTGGAGTACACTTTCACTCACCTCACCCCAACCAATCAAATTGGACTATGATATTAATAAGAATTAATTAATCCCATTAGGCTTCGGGGCTGTTGATTGCATTCAAAGCCTTATATTTACCCATCCAGGGCTGGGATAAAAAGCACTTAGGCAGCTTGGAACATCCCAGTCATCTATCACCCAATCTATAAGGGCTTAGAAGGACCAGATCCTCTTGTTAGTGACCACTGGTTCCTTGTCGCCCACCCTTTTTTGACACAGATCTAACCTGGGACTCCAGTGCTGCCCACAGGAGAAATAAGGAGTTGCAGTTCCTTATGCCCATGAGATGCCCTTTCTGGTCATAGGCATTGCTTTCTGAGCCCGAGTTCCAATATTGTTTGTAAAGCTCAATCTTGTTTTTGAAGGTTTTAGCTTAATATCCCAGGAGCTCCTAGCAATGAGACTTTGCTTTGCTTTTGCTGGATCCTGCACCAGAGCCATGCCTCCTCCTCCAAAGGCCATTCCACGTTCATTAACCATGGTAACCGTGGTAAGCCAGCTTTCTGCCTGTGCAGAGTCTTGAGTCTTGCCTGCCTGCTTCATACCCTGCTTCCCCCTGTCATGTTGGGAGACTACCTTAATGCCCCAGTTGGCAGACCAGGCATTTGCTTCAATTATTCCCGTTTCACCTGCAGTTCACTGAGGCCCCTTTGCCCTGCTGAGCTGCCAGAGCCTTTACTTTCAGCTGGGCCCATGCCCTACCTTTCACCACTTGGGATGGGTGAGTCTGGAGTGGATTATCCTGACCTTCCTCTCCAGCCTAGACGAAGTAGTGGGGCCTCACAGAAGAGTTCTGAGACTGCACAGTTCAGAAATTATCGGGGTGTTTTTTCATTGGCATTTAATAATGTGGTGAATGCTTCTTATTGTGATACCTGTGTTCTAATTGTAGAGTTTCACAAATATTAGTGATTTTAGGGCAGTGGTTCTCAACTGTGGCTGCACATTAGAATCACCTGGGAATCTTTTTAAAATCCTGATTTCGCCAGACCGGTTTGGCTCAGTGGATAGAGCGTCGGCCTGCGGACTAAAGGTCCCAGGTTCGATTCTGGTCAAGGGCATGTACCTTGGTTGCGGGCACATCCCCAGTAGGAGGTGTGCAGGAGGCAGCTGGTCGATGTTTCTCTCTCATCGATGTTTCTAACTCTCTATCCCTCTCCCTTCCTCTCTGTAAAAAAATCAATAAAATATATTTTTTTAAAAATCCCGATTTCTGGGCCTCGTCCTCCGGAAATTCTGTTTCTTTGTTACTAATGTTGTGGCCCCACCTCATAACAAAGAAACAGAATTTCCGGAGGATGAGGCCCAGAAATCAGGATTTAAAAAAGATTTCCAGGTGATTCTAATGTGCAGCCAAGGTTGAGAACCATTGTTTTAGGGCCTTATGTTTTTATGGGATATGGATATGCTACACTTACTATATGCTTGCATGCATACGTTATTTTATACTAAATCAAGGCCTACTGGACTCTCAGCTTAGCATTTGATGATTAATATGCAAGGTTACAAAAGTCTCAGCCAGCTGTCCTATTGCTCAGTCACCACGTATGCAAGCGTTTAAAGTGTCTTCCTTCTTTAATCTCACTTTTGCCCTACAGTCCTTCTTACTGTGCCTTGTTCTCATCAGCTGGCCTGTGCCTTTCCTGCCCAGCTAAATAGGCCTAGTCATTTCTAAATAATGACTTCTATTATCGAGCTTAAGGAAGTTAAAAAATAAAATCAAGCCTGCTGCTTGTAGGCACAACGTGCAAATTGTCAGTCCTCAGGAAAGCAGCTGCCAGAAGTAGTCTGTCCCATACTCCTGGCAGCAACAATGTCAATAAAAGCCTCACCCCACAGATGTCCTGGAAACACCCAGTTTCCATCCTGGAAGGGCAGAGCAGTGCATTTGCTCTCCAACTTTACTATCTGCACTAGGATGTTTGCAGAATTCTGTAAAGATGGCTAACATGGAGGGTTAATATGTGTCGGACACTGTGCTGCACATAGTATGTGCTTGTTTACTCACCGCAGCATTTCCACAAGGTGGGTACTAGTGCATAAGAACCACTGGGACCTTGTTAAACTGCAGATTTACCTGAGCAGGTTGTGGTTGGGGTGAGACTGCATTTTTAAAAATATGTATTTTTATTAATTTCAGAGATAAAGGAAGAGGGAGAGAGAGATAGAAACATCAATGATGAGAGACAATCGTTGATTTGCTGCATCCTTCACGACTCTCACTGGGGATGGAGCCCGCAACCCAGGCATGTGCTCTTGACCGGAATCGAACCTGGGACCCTTTAGTCCGCAGACTGACACTCTATCCCAGTGATGGAGAAACTATGACACGCGTGTCAGAGGTAACACGTGAACTCATTTTTTTGGTTGATTTTTCTTTGTTAAATGGCATTTAAATATATAAAATAAATATCAAAAATATAAGTCTTTGTTTTACTATGGTTGCAAATATCAAAAAATTTCTATATGTGAC